GATCAGTCTGTCAATCACACACACACACACACACACACACACACACACACACCCCAACCCCGAGAAGGAGAATGAAGGAAAAAGAGAAAGAAAATAACTTGTTGAGGGGCACCTGGGTGGCTCAGTCGGTTAGGCATCCAACTCTTGATTTCAGCTCAGGTCATGATCTCAATGGTTCATGAGTTTTAGCCTCATATCAGGCTTTGTAGTGACAGTGTGGAGCTTGCTTGGGATTCTCTGTCTCCTTCTCTCTCTCTCTGCTACCCCCCACCCCCACGCACGCTCGCGAAGAAAAAAGAAAACGGAAAAAAAAAAAAAAAAAAAAAACTGGGGCGCCTGGGTGGCGCAGTCGGTTAAGCGTCCGACTTCAGCCAGGTCACGATCTCGCGGTCCATGAGTTCGAGCCCCGCGTCAGGCTCTGGGCTGACGGCTCGGAGCCTGGAGCCTGTTTCCGATTCTGTGTCTCCCTCTCTCTCTGCCCCTCCCCCGTTCATGCTCTGTCTCTCTCTGTCCCAAAAATAAATAAACGTTGAAAAAAAAAAATTAAAAAAAAAAAAAACTTGTTGAGATTTTCATATGAAATTGCTTTGATTCCATAGATCAGTTTGGAATGGACTAATATCTTTACTGTGTTGAGGCTTCTAGTAAATGAGCATTTATTTATGCCCTCTTTATAATTTTTAAATAAAGTTTTACAGTTTTCTACTGATTAGGACTTGCTATAGTTTGATAGATTTATTCCCAGAATTGTGTATTTTTGGAAGCGTTAAAATTAGTAAGAAATGTTTTCTTTTGGTGTATGAAAGCAGTTTTAAAATAGATTTTGTGTGCTGTAGCCTTATTAAACTCTCTTATTCTAGAAATAGATCATTAGATTCCTTAGGATACTCTATTTACATTATCAAATCATCCGAAAAGACCATTTTATTTCTTTTTTCCAACTTCTGTATTTTCTTTTCTTGCCTTGTTTTGTTGGCTGAGCCTTCCAGTAGCTGGCACACTTATCTTGTTCTTAATCTTAAAGGGAGTGCTTTTTACTCTTTATAAGGGTTAAGGAAGTTTCTTTCTATTCTTATGCGTAGAATTTTTATCATAAGTGGATGTTGAATTTTTCTAATTCAGTTAGAAAATTTCTAATTGCAAATTGAAAAGGCTTTTCTTTATTCTTTGAGATGATTATGTTTTCCCCTTTTAATGAATGTGGTGAATCCCATTAATTGATTTTTAAAAAGTGTTTATTTTATTCATTTATTTTTAAACTTCTTTTTAATTTTTTTTTTAATGTTTATTTTTGAGAGAGAGAGAGACAGAGACAGAGACAGAGTGTGAGTGGGTGAGGGGCAGAGAGAGAGGGAGACACAGAAATCTGAAGCAGGCTCTAGGCTCCGAGCTGTCAGCACAGAGCCCGATGTGGGGCTCAAACTCACGAACTGTGAGATCATGACCTGAGCTGAAATCAAGAGTCAGACGCTTAACTGACCAAGCACCCCACATTTTTTTTAACCCCAAACTAACCCTGCATTCCTGGAATAAATCCACTGTAGTCTTTTTAAAATTTAATCTTTATTTGAAGCAGGCTCCACATACAATGTGGGGCTTGAACTCGTGACCCTGAGATCAAGAGTCTCATGCTCTGCTGACTGAGCCAGCCAGGCACCCCCAGTCCATTGTAGTCTTAATATTTTACCTTATTAGATTATTTTTGCTAGTACTATTTAGGATACTTTTTTATATGTTTGTGAGTAAAACGGGCATGTATTTTTTTCTTTTCCTTTTTACACTCCTCTTTGTCAGGTTTTGGTATTGAGATTCTGCTGGCCTCATAAAGTGAGTTAGGAATTGTTTACTTTTTCCCCCTACTCTGAAAAAGTTGTGAAATACTGGAATTATTTTTCCTTTGGATTTCTGGAAGCAAGCAGAGTGAAATTGTTTTCATTTTTCCTTTGGGGAAGATTTTTACTGACAAATTAAATGTATTCAAATACTACGGGACCCTTTAGATTTTCTGTTTTCTTCTTGAGTCGGTCTTGGTAAGTTATATTTTCTAGAGAGTAATCCATTTTTACGTTTTACTTTCATTGGCATGAATTTTATTGGTTCATGATAATCCTCTTTTATAGTATCTGCGGCATTTTTTTATTGTGTCCTTCTTTCTGTTATCCTTAAATCATTTGTTCCTTCTCTTTTATTTTTTTATTCCATCATACCAGAAGTTTATAATCTATACGGTTCTTTTGAAAGAACCAAGTTGGTGTTTCTATTATGTGGGGTTTTTTTTCCCTCTTTGATTATTGTTGGTCTTTCCTTTATTCCCTTTTATCTATTATCTTTGGTTTAATTTCTTAGTATTTGCTCTTTTTCTGTACCATTTGACAGCAGTAAACTACCCTGTCCTTGTAGCTTGCTTTGGCTACAAGGCTCCTGAGGCACCCTAGTCCTAAGGGATTTTTTTTTCTGTATTCTAACTGCTTAATCTTTGTCTTTACATTTCCTAATGTAGGTGCCCTCTTCAGGCTTCTTTGCTCTACATCCACTCTTAGTTGGTTGACACTTTTACTCTTCAGATTTCACCTGTCACTTCCCTGTGAATGATATAAGCAGGGGACCCTGTCCTTGTCTGGGCTCTTCCACTAACTAGCTGTGACATTTTGAATAATTCACTTAAGATTCCTTAATCTGTTTGTTCCAGTAAAATAAGGAGGTTGGATTCAAGATCTCCAAGGTTCACCTCAGTAACACTGCTCCGGTGGCAACTTTATAGAGTCTTTACCTCTGGCCTCTGTCATTTCTAAATGCCTTCTGGGTCACTTTTCTTACGTTGTTTTGGGGTTTCTCAAACTCTGTATATCTGATGTTAATCTTCTTACACAATTCACCTTCTCTCCCAAGCTGTTAATACCCCCAGTTCCTTATTTATGTTCCTGTTTTCTCTGGCACACATTTGGTTTGACTCCCAACATCCTGTCTCCCTGTACCGTCTTCATACTCAAGTCTGACGTGTGTGTGTGTGTGTGTGTGTGTGTGTGTGTGTGTGTGTGTGTGTGTGTTCTTTCTTCTTTCCTTTTAGCCCAGGTTAGGTCTTTATGTTTTACAAGAATGATTTCCCCGTGATACCTCCTTTCTTCCATCCCTTACCTTATAGGGGAGCCTCAGAGTTTTACTTAAAAAAAATACCTGCTTTTGCATCTTAAATCTCTATTTATCTGAATTGAATTTATCTCTGTTTAATTGAATTGTCTAAGAATGTCCTTTCACTTTGCTGGCTTTAGATACCATGCCTTTATGCGTCCCCCCCCAAGAGGCAGAGACAGGGCACCTAAATAGTATTACTTATTTGGTAATAAGTAATATGGCAGGCTCTGTACCAAAGATAGAAATCCGTCAATCGTGTGTTATAGTGCTTTTTGATTCACAAGCTTCTCATTTTTGTGGGAACTTGCAAGTGGAACCAGTGTATAGAATTTTTAGGATCTCCATGAGAGTGAAATATTTGGTTCTGGAAGACTTCCTGTATTGGCGATGTGTTAATTAACCGCTTGTCTCTGTTTTTCAAAATCTCATCTTCTTTCAGTCTAATGCATTTATGTAATATATATTGAGCATTAATGATTTTCTGCATGGAGATGGAGACCAGTGGCTAATGACAAAATGTGCAACTTTCAAATCATGAAACTTCTGTATGTGGCTCATGAAGGTGACCCTAATTAATTACTTTAAGTTTTATTTCACACTAGTTTCTCACTACTTGACACAAGTATGTACCCTTTTAACTTGATTAAAGGTTTATGTCTAGGTAGTTCTTTAATTTACTATTTATGGGAAACTTTAGGAAAAAACCATAAGAGAACGATACACTATGAGGGTTTAAGCAGGTGGAAATATATGGACACTCCTTTTATAATTATCTCACGGAAACCTTAAATAGGTCTTTTGAGTCATGTGATCTACCTCATTATTCTTATTAAAGTGATTCGTGTGCTAGAAATGAGAGTATATAGAGGCAGAAGTTAGTAGCCGTTTAGAAATACTACTTTAATGTTCTGCCTCGTACTGTCCCAACAGGTGTCAACAGGTGTGCTCCATGTGTGCACACACAGGAGTGAGGACGGGCAGATGGGTTGTTTGAGTGGTAGGAAATGGCAAGTCAGTACCACCTTCATGTGCCTCAGTGATTCTTGCAGGTTCCTGGAGTCTGTTATATTTTGTTGAGTACAAAGAATTCTGGTTATTTGTAAATAATACCTGGATATTGTAGTTTGAAAACCATGTATTATATCCTTAAAAAATATTTGAGTATTAGGATGATATGTCTTTCCATAAATTAGTCCGTCCTCTTCTAACATCTGATTGCAGCATCGGTGGTTAAAAAGCACAGGATGACATTTAGAAGATGATAGTTACAGCAGAGGTCTTGCTAATTAAATATGTGCAGCAGTTTATACTTTGGAGATGAAGAAATTATTAAAAATGTTCTGCAAATGGTTGTTTTCGCCATGAGATTGTCATGTAGTAAAAGCATAAGTTAAGAATAAATCATCTTGCAAAGTCACCGGTGGGTTTCTTCTGTCCATGCCAAATATGGAGAATTGGGGACCAGAAGAGCACTTCAGTCCCTCTTTAGAAGTCTGTCTTCTACCATTCTTCCCAACAGTGAGAGTGACAATAATCTCTTCCTTATAAGTGCCGTGTTTATTCTGACCCCAAACACTACATTCACTTCCATATTCTCTAACACTGTGTTTATGGCTGGGATTCATTTTTTATATTTTAGTTTCTGTTTCTTATGCTTAGTGTTCATTTATTTGTCCCGCCGCCCTCCCTTTAGTAGAGAAATCATTTTACTGTATGTCCTTTTTCTTTTAAATCCCTCTCGTCCTTGGAGGTACTTAGGAAAGTGCTTCCACAAAACTGATGACTGATCAGTGCTGGTGACTGAAGGCTAGTGCTTTATTTCAGTTGAGTTTGTTTTTAATAGTTACATTATCGTGCTTGCTTTCCAGGCACACAAACCAATGGTCTGGACTTTCAGAAGCAGCCCGTGCCTGTTGGGGGAGCAATCTCAACGGCCCAGGCCCAGGCTTTTCTGGGACATCTCCATCAGGTAGGATGCTCTGCTCAACCATCAGGGAGGGTAACAAGTGGAGGCATGAAATGCGAGGGCCTGGGGAAGTTACTTCAGTGTGTGGGACTTTTTACATTGATTAAAGCCTGTGCTAATCACACCTAATTGTGTCCTTCTGAATGGTTCGGCTGGAATCCTGTAGCTTAATTGACTATATAGCTATTGACCCCGCAGCTGTGTGAAAAAAAGGAATTCTTTGTTATGAATGGAATGTATATAACAACGGGGTTACTGTTTTTGTCCCTGTGGGTCTGTGATGGCTCACTGAAGGTAGTAAATTACAAAGTCATCCAAAAGGATGTAGTCACCATTGCCTGAGACCTGCTGAGTAAGGCTCTCCGTTCAGAATATGTCTTCATAAAATGTATCTTCATATGTCTTCTGAGCTCATAAAATATGTTTTTAGACTACCTACGCTTTATATAAAAGAAGCTCCTGTGATTGAAACAGGTGAAATTTTAGAAAGGTCCTCTAAAGCCTATTTATTCTATAAATTCAAAGGGATGGTGTGCAGGCAGCCATTAGCATCTTCTATTAGAGGGAGGCCCTAGTTGACAGACTTTGGTCAGGTGCATAGGTTTGTGTTTCTGAAAGTAGAGAAACTTCCACATGAAGCTTCTGGATAAAATATTAAGATGATTTAGCATCTAAAATAATTTAAGAATATATTGTAGAAAAACAAAAACGTTATTTTCATGTTGATTTTTTTTTTTTCCCCTAAAAACATATTGTAGCCTCCAACAAGTTTTCTGGTTTCTTAGAGGGATAGCATTTCTGATAGTTTATGTGGCTTATATTAAGTGTCTATCTGGCATAAATTTGTGACGGTCCAAATGTATTTAAAAAAATCCCTGAAGGTACATAGATGATATGCAGTCTTTTCTCCATTGGATCCAAATTCCAAGATGAGTACAACTCCTGCCTCAGCCACAAGGCCTCCAGCTCAGAATCCTTGAACCTTCAATATGCCCCATACCAAAGGACTTTAAATCAAGGAATTTTAGGGGCGCCCGGGTGGCTCAGTCATTTAAGCATCTGACTTCGGCTCAGGTCGTGATCTCATGGTTCGTGAGTTCGAGCCCCGTGTCGGGCTCTGTGCTGACAGCTCAGAGCCTGGAGCCTGCTTCGGATTCCGTGTCTCTCCCTCTCTGTCTGCCCCTCCCCCACTCATACTCTGTTTCTCTCTTTCTGTAAAATAAATAAACAGTTTTTAAAAAATTATAAACAAAGGGCAGCAATCCATTCATTTTAGCTCTGAACTCTATATGAGCTCCATACCAACACTTATACTTAACTTCAGGAAACCTTGAAGTTATATGATATATCGAAAGTGGAACTCATTGTCTTCCTGTCAGTGACACTACCATTTTTTTCCGTCTCTCAGATTTGAACCCTGGAATAATTCGTGACTTCTTTCTTTATCTATATCCAGTCAGTTGCCAGGATCTTATGTAGTAGCACTGTCTCTCGTGTTTCCTAGTTTTTGTGCTGACTGCTGCCATTCTGATTTACACTTCATTTATTCTACTCTAACTTCTATTCTTTTTCCCCATACATAGTCTTTCTTTATTTTCAGGACATTGACATTTTTGAAGAGTACAAACTAGTCCTTCTATAGTGTTGCTCGGTTTGGGTTTGGGGAGGAGTACAACATAAGTAGTATTGTGTTCTTGGTGGATTATACCAGAAGGCACGTGTGTCCTTAGTGGTGACTTTTCCTTTTGTAATTAATAAGTATCAGCGGAGAGATGGTTGAGAATATGTAAATATCATGTTATTCCCCACCTCTCACCCATTAGAGCATCCATTGATGACACTCGCCAGAATCAGGTATTAACGTGGCTGCCAAACAATGTCCCTTATTCTAACATAACCATGGTTTTTTAACTTTCTGAATGCATGAAATGTTGTGACAGACTTTCATGTGTGGATTATAGGACAGACTCTTTATTTCAGCCAGCAGTTTTGAGTTGTGACTATAAATGTTCTAAGGACTTGACTGTATAGGTGTTGTGTGTGTGTATGTATACGCACGCACACACGCGCACACATGTATATGTAAGGTTTTCACTCTGGTATATACTTGAAAATTTTGAAATTAGAATGAGTAGGTAATTCTGATTGTTTATAATGATAAAAATAATGTATGTAAGTAGCTTGTTCCCATGTGTTCTTTATATAATGGATGAATTAAGCTTTTAGAATCTAAGCGTCCAATGATTACAAACAGGATAAGGAGTGTCTAATACAAGAGTGGCACGCCTGATGACGCTTAGTGTGGGAAAACATGTTCAGAAAAGAACTGGTAACAGCATCTTCTGGTAGGAGGTGGAGGAACCGTGAGCTTGTCCATAAAGTTTTACCTCTGTAAGATAGACCTCTTTGTGTTCTTAGTTCTAACTCAGTGACGGGCACTTAGTAGAGATTCTTGAAATACTTGCTGATGTCAACCTCGAATGATGGATGTCAATAGTATCGTACTAGAACTTTACCTCACTACTTTACTTTCAGGTCCAGCTCGCTGGAACAAGTTTACAGGCTGCTGCTCAGTCTTTAAATGTACAGGTAAGCTGGGTTTCAGGATTATGGATCAGTTTTACTATTTTTCCCATTTTTTTTCTGACTTTTTTGTAACGAGCATGCAATAATTTTATAATAGGAAACACTTAGGAGTATTACCTTTTGTTATTACCTAATGTCTTTAAGATGCAAATACTGACAATCATTGACAACACGTTCATAAAAATCCAGTTTATGTTATACTACTGTGAATGACAAAAGGTGAACAAGAGAAGTCTACTTGCAGAGATGGATGTGTAAGTTTATTTAATTTTTATCTGGGGGAGCATACGTGAGTGTAGGAAGCTGTTTCTGAGTTTTACAGTGATAACACATACCTAAACACAAAGCCAAATAATTTGTAAATCCCTTTTTGTTTCCAGATGCCTTTTTGTGGTTTTATAGTGTAGAGGAAAGAGCACTGGGCTGAGGTACAGAGGTTTTTAGTGTGCATTCTAGCTCTGCCACTAACTAGCTGTATGACCTTTGGCGAGTCACTTAACATCCTGGGGTTCCTTTTTTTTACACTTGTTTAAGTGGGGAAGTTTTTAGAAGCTTGCCAGGGTCCCTCTCTGCTCTAAAGTGCTGTGCTTCTAAGGTTCGTAACTAAGCCTGGTGTAGTTATTGACGGGCCGCGTCGGATCAAAATTTTAAAAACGAAGGTTAAGTCTGGCTACTTTGCTGATGCACAAATCATGTGGTAAAACGTGCAAAGTTCAGTTATTATACGTTACTCCGTAATTCAGTCAATCTGCTGCTTCCTTTCGTTATAGTGTTTAGGTAGCTGACAGTCAAGAGGGGAAAGCCATATTCTAAAAGATTGATTTCAGTGTTGCTAATGACTAAAGACCTTGGGTTGAGCGTTCCGGGAACCCAATGGAATATGGACCTGGTAACACATGGAAGCAAGAAGAGAAAAGAAAAGGAGATAATGTGACCTTCCTTTCTGAGGGAGAGGAGGCAGAAAATTGCCTCGGTTGCCATGGTAAACTTTCATCCCTTGGAGAGATGTTGGCAAACAGGCTGTATCTCCAGTGCGGCATGTTTACAGTCCTGCACTGTAATTATCTCCCAATGACTGGCAGAATTAATCAGAGCCTTTATGTTAATTAGCCTTGCTGTAGTCCCCAAAACAGGTGGTAGGAAATATGCAAATCTATGCAGAATTTTAATGCTCGCATAGCCAGTTTTAATTACCATAAAATTTCCTCTTAGTGTCCCTTTTAGGAGTGTGTTCTCTTTCCCTCTTGACTGTAGCGTTTCCCCCCCAAACTTGTGTGTTACTTGATGAGAGATGCTGAATTTGCAGTTATTTTAGATATTAGATCCAAAGTTCCGTGGGTCAAGTTGTCAGCTCCGAGATGGTACATGAGGGGGTTTCAGGCTGACCACCAAATACATCTCAGGATGCAGGGGTGGAGGGTCTAATGTAGAGATGGATTGAGAATGTGCTTTCCCTTAGTCCGTATTTCTGAAGTTGAGATCTGGGTTTCCGAAAAATTCTGTTGATTTGTGGAGGACCAAATTTTTTTTTTCTTAAAAGTTGTTAAGTGCAGCCTTGCTGGCATTGGAACGAGAAGTCTATACCAGCAACTTGTATTGTGGGTAATTTTTACATTTTATTTTTCTACTTTCATGTGTTCCGTATTTGATCATTTCTTTCTTTTATAGTTAGGAAACGACAAATAAGAAATGTGATTTTTTTTTTTAAAGGGAGAAAAAGTCTAAAAATTTCCTATATTAAAATCAGGAAAATACAAAGATTAGTAAGAAAGGAAAAGAATGAAACCAGAAAACTCATGACTAGATAAATCCATGTTGTAAACAAGTCTTAAAATATGGAGTTATAAGTAGTATTTTTTAATCAGTTACTTGAAATCTCTTATCCCCCCTTCCCTCCCAGTCTAAATCTAATGAAGAATCGGGGGATTCACAGCAGCCAAGCCAGCCTTCCCAGCAGCCTTCAGTGCAGGCAGCCATCCCCCAGACCCAGCTGATGCTGGCTGGAGGACAGATAACTGGGGTAAGTTTTCACTGAGAGAATTACAATAAACTTTCTTTGTGTCAGAACTGCCACGGGCCAATATCTGATTAGAACCGTTTGCTGTAGCACACAAGTGACGTGGTTATGCCTGGCGCTGTTTTCTTCAAAGAGTTTGCTACGCCGTAGGCAGCTCCTTAAAAGGAATTATCTTTGTCATAAGTTTTCGGGGTATCCTTTCTTACTTTTGCAGATGCTCTCGATAAACTAGAGACTTTTTTAAACCCACGTTTCACCTGTTGCTTCATCATGCAGTGGAGTCATCCTCTGATTGAGATCATTATATTGATGAGATTATAGTCGTCAGTTTGGAGTTACTTTATCGCTGCAGAGTAGAAGTTAAAGAGTGGGTTAGTACCTACACAAGAAAAATATTTTCTTTAAATTACTGTGTCATGTTCTAAAATGAAACCTCTGGTCTCGTATCCTGGCTCTACAGTTTACTGTGTGAACTCATTACTTCATCTCCCTGTGCCTCAGTTTTCCTTCAGTTAAATGGAGCTGTTGTCTATGTGAGATGCTCACGATATTGTTATATAGATAAAGAATAACAGTGTTTGTAAAAAAAAGAACAGTGCTTGGCATGTAAGTCAATAAATGTCTTTTATTTTTATTGGTAATAGATCGGCCTTTGTGAATACATTAAACTTTTAATTTTTCAGCCGTCTGTGCTCTAAGACACCAGAAGTATTTTCCCAGTGCTGAACATTTGTCTGTTAAGTTATTTTGCGGGTAGAAAGGCTAGGAGACTGGTAAGGAAGAGTTGTTGTTCAATTCACATCACATCAACTCACGCAATTTTTTACTTCCTTTCTTTTAGTTAAGTATGTTTTAGAAGTTGCAGAATGGTCTTAAATATCTCCTCGATGGAGATTAATATGTTTATTATGTAAAATATTTGTAAACATGTGTATCTTGACAGCTGTTAAGTTTTTGAATGGTTTCATTTTGATTCTTATGTCTCTGATGTACAAATTGTATTGGACCCTTTTAGAAGGAGGGTTGTGCCACTAAGTGAATGTACACGTGCTTAATATATGTCAGGGTGGGATGCCTTGCTGGCTCAGTCGCTAGAGTATGCAACTCTTGATCTTGGGATTGTGAGTTGGAGCCCCGTGATGGGTTTAGAGATTACAAAAATAAACTAAATACAATACATACATACATAAAAGCTTAAAAAAATAAAGTATATATTCCAGGCTTCCTTCTTGTCTGATCAGAACATGCCACCAAAAGGAAGGCTGAACACACTTATTACTTTGTGTCTGAACTAAGTTGCATTATGAAAGCAAGTTTTAATCTGCTCTAAATACATTTCCTGTTTTACTGTTTGGGTCTGTTTCGGGTGATTAGTGTCTATAATAGTAAGAGACCCTTGGGATTCCAGGTTCGTGTGGCTGGAGCTTCTATTAAACCTGGGCTTTAGGATTCATTTGCATGTAAAGAGAGCCGCTGTCCCCACTGTCACCACCTGTTTCACGGAGATAATGTGTTGGAAAGGGGATATAAAGTTGTAGAGACCCAGTGCTTTCAATAACAGAAAGGACTGTGTTGGGGAGGGGCTGTAGGGAGACTTGGACAAGAAACAAATGGAGCTCATATTCTTTAGTCATATCTTAGGACATAATGGAAATGATGGAATATGGCAGAGATTCATGCTAATGGGAAGCAGCTGGGCCTTATCAGTTCTTTCCGCGGTCAGATCCAGCATCCTTGTTCCTCATTCATCTGACTAATCACTTGCTGTTCTGTTGGGTGTAAATTTCTTTTCATATCCTGTCAGCGTGGATTCTTTTTCTTTTCTTGCTTACTAGTTAATTACTTTTTTTTGCCTGAACCCTCGAGCCCTGGACACGTTTGAATGATTGTTTAAGTCCAGAGTGAGGACCACCATTCTAATTTAAATGTTCCGCCAGCAATGGCAGCTCGATTGCTGATCAGCGTTTCAGCTTCGAGCTGACCGTGCGGAGGCGGGTGGCTAAGGTCTCATAGCCCTTGAGTTACCTACCGCAAAGCAGTCGGCTTGCGTTAGGGGCCCTTCTCCCGCAGACCGTTCCAAACGTCTGTTCTCATTTTGTTCAGCTTACCTTGACGCCGGCCCAGCAACAGTTACTGCTACAGCAGGCGCAGGCGCAGGCACAGCTGCTGGCCGCCGCGGTCCAACAGCACTCCGCCAGCCAACAGCACAGCGCCGCCGGGGCCACCATCTCAGCCTCCGCCGCCACGCCCATGACGCAGATCCCCCTGTCGCAGCCCATCCAGATCTCCCAGGTGAGTCTCCCTTTGGGCAGGGGCGGGAAGTGAGGAATCAAGCGGCGGGTCTTCTTTAGTACGGAATCCACTTTCTGATCGTCGGCGTGGCCCCTCAAAAGGCCCGAGGAGCGCGAGAGCAGGGAAGTGCGCCGTCGCCTTCCTTACCGCTGAACTAGAAGTAATACGTTTGTTTGCTTGTTTGAATTGATATTATAAACACGTAACTGATTATTTGAGTAACTGTTTACATTAAGTGACAATTCTCGAATAATTAGTTGGCATATTTCTGAAGCAGGGGATTACTGTATTTATTTTAATTAGCTAATTATGGCAGGCATGGGTTCTTTCATGTGCTCCGCAGTGAATATTGCCACTCATGTGTGAGAGAGACGGCCCGTCCTCTCCCTGCTACGGAGCGATTAACTCTGTGCAGAGCTGTATTCGGATGTGGTTTGGCTCCAGTGTTCACACTTCAGGGCAGAGTATCCAGAGATAATAAAAAGTTACTTGAGAGGCATAGAGGGTACTGCCTGGGAAGAAAGGTAAATGAAGTCCTTCGTCCCCAGGAGAGGGAAAAAGTCCAAGTATTGGTATCAGTAAGTTCTGTGAAGAGTTCTTATGAGTCTAGCGCTAGACAATTATCTTTATCCCCCCAGAGAAGACTCAGAAGCAGACTTGCATTGTAGCTAGAGCTTGACTAGGACATTTAAAAGAGCCAGGTAACTATATAAAGCGAAGAATAGGTATCCGACTAATCTTTATGACTATAATATACAAGCTTTTTCAAGATAATGTCTTAATTGTGGCCACTTTCTTCATCACCAAATACGTTCTTAACGTATAAGCTTTGAGACCCTATGTTGACATTATTCTACTAAGATAATGTGTGTGAAACCACGTTGAAAATTATAAAACACTAGACCGGTGTAATCAAGTTTGGTATGTTATGGATTAGGTTTTTATATGGATAACTATTTTTAGGTATTTTTACACGTATTTCTCAGTCGAGTTAGACTGGTACCAAATTAAGGTGGGTTTTTTGGTTTTTTTTTGTTTTTGTTTTGTTTTGTTTTGTTTTGTTTTGTTTGAGAGCGAGAGAGAGTGCGAGCAGGGGAGGGGCAGAGAGAGGGGGAGACACAGAATCTGAGGCAGGCTCCAGGCTCTGAGTTGTCAGCATAGATCTCGACTCGGGGCTCAAACTCATAAACTGCAAGGTCGTGACCTGAGCCAAAGTCAGACGATTAACCAACTGAGCCACCCAGGCGCCCCTAGACTGCTGCCAAATGTAATGAATCATTATAGATACTTTAATTTATCGATGCAGTTTCAGACACAGCACTCTCCATTTTTATGTAAGAGAAAGATGAGTTGAATATTTAAAACCCCAACGTACTCTTTGCTCACTTGATTTTTAAAACCCACATTGATCCTTCCAGGCTAAAAACACTCAACTGTAACCATTTGTTCTGAGGGAATTTGAAGTAACTATCGAAAACTAGCTTTGACACGAGTCCTGACACGGTGGATACGGGCAGAGGTAGCAAGTCCTTACCGTGGCTCCAGGTTTCTTCGCACGCTCTGTGACCATACCCAGAGCACACCCTGTTTAAAAAGGACGGAAGAATGTAGAATATTGACTCTTCTTTATGTGGATGACACAGTTCATCTCCTGGGAACCTTATGAGCCAGCGAGTTTTCGTTTCAGGATCTCCAATCCGTGTTTTCGTTCTGATTCTCTAGGATCTGCAGCAACTGCAGCAGCTTCAGCAGCAGAATCTCAACCTGCAGCAGTTTGTGTTGGTCCATCCAACCACCAACTTGCAGCCAGCGCAGTTTATCATCTCACAGACGCCCCAGGGCCAGCAGGGTAAGCTCCTCCTCAGCACCCGTCAGCAGCGCACGAGGCTGTCCGCTTCTGCGCCACACACACCGACTGCTGTCATTTTAACGTTTGGATTAAATCTGACTGTAAACTCAGTATTCGTGTTAAGAAAAATATATTTTTTAGGGGCGCCTGGCGGCTCTGTCGGTTAAGCGTCTGACTTCGGCTCAGGTCATGATCTCACGGTTTGTGGGTTCGAGCCCCGCATCGGGCTCTCTGCTGTCAGCGCAGGCCCTGCTTGGGATTCTCTGTCCCCCTGTCTCTCTGCCTCTCTCTCTCAAAAATCAATTTAGAAAAAAAAGAAGAAGAAAAAGAAAGAGGGATGCCTGGGTGGCTCAGGTCATGATCTCGTGGTCTGTGGGTTCGAGCCCCGCATGGGGCTCTGTGCTGACAGCTCAGAGCCTGGAGCCCGCTTCGGATTCTGTGTCCCCCTCTCTGCCCCTCCCTAGCTCATGCTCTGTCTCTCTCTCAAAAATAAACAAACATTAACCAAAAAATGGGTTTTTTTTATTTTGGGGTTTTTTTTAGCTAAGGAAAAAAAAAACTATTTTTGGTCATGCATGCCACATATTGAAGATCGTCCTTTACTGCCTCTCATCTGTTCAATCTCTCATGGTGAACCAAGAGTTTGGTCAAAAATCTAAGTGAAATCTTTCCAACATAAATTACTTCTAGTATTTTGATAATTTTTCTTGGGAATGTATTTTAAAAATGTGGACTGAGCATTAAAAGCATATGCTTCTAACAATCTTTTGTTCTCTTTTAAAGTTTGAGAAGGAGAGAGTGTTATATTAGAAATTGCAAACTTTTGAGTTACAAAAAACACATTTAAGGCCTCTTAGTGGTAAATTTCTATATCAGATAAATTCAATTCTTGTTTGTAAGGTTAGTGGAGGTTAGAGTAGAGAGATTCAGGGTATCAAGGCTTCACCCCAGCGAACGTTAGTGCATTGCTACCATTTCCTCATTATTTTTGTTCTTTAGCCTTTTTCTTCTTGATCATTCATTCCAAAATCTTTCTTTGCATAAATACCTGTTCCACTTAACAGATAGCTTGCTCCTGTCATGAATCAGACAATTCTCTGGCCCAATATATACTGGCAGTTTCTAATGGATGCTGGGTTAAGAAGGTGAGCTCTTTTGGGACACCTGGGTGGCAAAGTCGATTAAGCATCCGACCTCAGCTCGGGTCGTGATCTTGCGGTTCATGAGTTCGAGCCCCATGTCGGGCTCTGTGCTGACAGCTCAGAGCCTGGAGCCTGCTTCAGATTCTGTGTCTCCCTCTCTCTGCCCCTCCCCGACTCATGCGCGCGCGCTCTCTCTCTCTCTCTCTCTCTCTCTATCTCTCTCTCTCAAAAGTAAATAAAAACATTTAAAAAAAAAAAGAAGGTGAGCTCTTTTTAGAGTTTCAAGCTTGCTTCCATTTAGAATACTTCTTCATTTTCATCCATTCCTTACTAAAATAAAGGATTGGCCAATCAGAGAGATCATCAGACAGGTTATCAAAGACATATATCAGTTTTAGTTTTGTTTTGTTTTTTTAACGTTCATTTATTTATTTATTTATTTAGAGAGAGAGAATCCCAAGCTCCGCGCTGTCAGCGCAGACCCCAAAGCGAAGCTCAATCCCACGAACCGTGAGATCATGACCTGAGCTGAAATCAGGAGACAGCCGCTCAGCCACCTGAGCCACCCAGGTGCCCCTATATCGGTTTCAGTTTTATGTCCCATATCTTACTGCCCAAGTTGTAGTTAACAAGATTGAATTTTAGGAAAGTAAGACATTAAGAATTTTAAGACTGATAAGACTATCAAAAGATCAGTTGGAAATTTTCATTTCACTTTCTTATTCTTTATTTTGCCATATGTTCAGAGGAATCCTTAGTGTATCTGACAGGACATTTGTGTTTTCCAGGTCTCCTGCAAGCGCAAAATCTTTTAACGCAACTACCTCAGCAAAGCCAAGCCAACCTCCTACAGTCGCAGCCAAGCATCACCCTCACCTCCCAGGTCAGTTTTCTCCCACTGAGGATTACTTTCTCTTACCCGGATGTTTTGAGGGACTCTTGGACTTGGTTCAATTAAAAACACAACAGATCCCCACAGTACCCTAATAAAAATAATCCAAATAGTTTTCACACTGAGCAAAGATTCAAACCAAGACTTATCAGCTTGATAAAGCAATACTATCGGATTGATGTAGTCTTTGAAAATGTCCAAGGAGTTCCTGTTTTCTTCTGTATTTGTAAAAACTAACCGTGTTAGTGGCAAATGAGGACTGAGTTCTGGCTCGTCGACCATCCTCCCCTCCAGCCCTCCCCTCTCTGTAGTTGGCAGGAGAGCTTACCACTGGCACCAGAAACCCACTGCTTCAGTGAAAACACATCACGGTCCTCTGCCCTTTTGAAGAAACTGCAAAGAAGTTCCGATCCCCGTGTTTTCTTTCAACTTTGAGATGTTGCTTTAGCTCATTTCTACCAGAGTTTAGCTCTATCATAAAGTATAGGTCTAGACATCTTGAGATGTAAGCTTTAGACCTCTTTCACTTCTTAACCAGCTGTGACTTTGAGCACGTCGTTTCATTTCTTCATCTGTAAATTAGGTAATTGAACTGGCTGATCCTGAATCACTCTTCAGCTCTGATTCGCTTTGTCTATACTCTTGCAAGTTCTCACTAACATATGGCCAGATTTGACAAAATTCCACATCTGTTTATGATAAAAAAGAAATAACAAAAAACAAAACTCTTGCAAACTAGGAATAGGTTTCCAACCTGGTAAAAGTCATCTACAAAAAAAAACCCTACATCATACCACCAAGATCAGGAATAAGGCAAGGATGTCCACTGTCACCACTTTTTTTTTTTTTTACATTTATTTATTTATTTGTTTGTTTGTTTGTTTATTTATTTATTTAGAGAGCATGTGTGCACGAGCAGGGGAGAAGCAGAGAGAGAGAGGGGGAGAGAGAGAATCCCAAGCAGGCTCTGACTTGATTTCACAAACTGTAAGATCACAGCCTGAGCTGAAATTAAGAGTTGAATGCTTAACCACTTGAGTCACCCAGGTGCCCCAACTATTACCACTTCTGTTCAGCATTTTACCGGAGGTCTTAGCAGTGCAGTAAGACAAGAAAAAGAAATAAAGGACATGTAGATTAGGAAGGAATATGTAAAACGTTTTAATTGGCAGAGGACATCATTGTCTATGTTAAAATCCTAAGGGATCTACAAAAAACTGCTGGAATCAATAAGCGAGTTTAGCAAGTATGTAGCATACAAAGTCGGTGTTAACAATGATCATTTGGAAGTTGAACTTAAGAGGAAAAATATTTACCCTACTTACAGATAAATTTCACAAAACATTTGCAAGACTTATATGTAATTTTCAATAGTGAAATTAATCAAGACCTAAATAAATAGAGGGCTATAATGTGTTCATGAATCAGAAGACTTCGGTTGTTAAAACGTGAATTCTTTTCCAAATTGATCTATATATTCAACATAATTCCTGTCAGTACCCAGCAGCCTTTTTTTAAATAGAAATTTGCGGGGCGCCTGGGTGGCGCAGTCGGTTAAGCGTCCGACTTCAGCCAGGTCATGATCTCGCGGTCCGTGAGTTCGAGCCCCGCGTCGGGCTCTGGGCTGATGGCTCAGAGCCTGGAGCCTGTTTCCGATTCTGTGTCTCCCTCTCTCTCTGCCCCTCCCCCGTTCATGCTCTGTCTCTCTCTGTCCCAAAAATAAAAAATAAAAACGTTGAAAAAAAAAATTTTAAAAAAAAAAAAAGAAATTTGCATCATGTTTCTAACATTTATGTGGAATTGTAGAGGACGTAGAAAAATCAAATAATTTTGAAAAGTAAGAAAGTTGAAAGACTGCCTCATGTCAAAATTAATATAAAGCCACAGTAATGAAGACAGCATGATAACAGCATATGAACAGAAATGAAATAGAATAGAAGATTAAGTAGACCCACACATCTATGGCCAAAGGATTTTCCACAAAGGTGCCAAAGATTTCAGTGAGAAAAGGAAAGTCTTTGGTTATGTGTAGGCAAAAACAAACAAGCAAACAATTTACAATGATTAATTTGAAAAGGGTAATAAGACCTAACCTTCCAGAAGAAAACTTAGGAAAAAAGTCTTTGTGTCCTTGGGTAAGATAATGGTTTCATAAATAGGACACAAAAACACTATTCATAAAAGAAAAAAATTGACAAATTTAATTTTATAAAAATTAAAATCTTTTTGTTAAAAGCATAAAAGAAAAACCACAAACTGGAAGAAAATATTCTTCAAATTTATATCTGATAAAAGACTTGTGTCTAGAATTTATAACTAATTCACAAACTCAGTAATAAGCCTGACTTTTTAAAAAGGAGGGATGTGCAAAATATTTGAAAATACTTCACCAAAGAAGATACGTGAATGCCCAGTAACCATATAAAAAGATGCTGAAAATCATTGGTCATCAGGGAAACGCAAATGAAATACCACTACATACCCACTAGAATGGGCAAAATCAAAAAGACTATGATAGTACCAAGTGTAAAGCAACTGGGCTCTTTGATATATTATTGATGGGGTTGCAAACACTTTGGAAAACAGTTTGGCAGTTTCTTATACAGGGTACCTTATGACCTAGCAATTCTACTTCTAGAAATGAATGTCCACACAAAGACCTATATATAAATGTTCAAAGCAGTTTTACCCATCATCACACCAAACTGGAAATAACCTAAATGTCCATCGACTAATGAATAGGTAACATAACTTTTGGCATATCCATATGATAGAATGCTGTTCAGCAGTAGAAAGGAATATACTTCTGAAACATTTACCAACACGTATGAAGTTTGGAAGCATTATGTTAAGTGAAAGAAGCCAAACATAAAAGACTGCATACTGTATGATTCAATGTGTATGCATTTTAGAACAGACAAAACCATAGGGACAGAAATTGTATCAGTGCTTGCCGGGGGCTTGGGGGCTAGGGATGGGGAATGGAGGGCAAAGAGCATAAAGGAACTTCTGTGGGGGATAGAAATGTTTTATATCTTAAATGTGGTGGCAGTCACGTGACTACATACGGTTGTCAGAACATCAAACCGCATACTTTTAAATTGTGCATTTCATTGTGAATATGCCGCATATAAAAAATCAGGTTGGAGTCTTGCAAAAGCCTGTTGCAGCAGTTCCTCCCTGGCCTTCGTGCGCCGCACACAGTGGCAGGGCTGGTGTAGCGCCATCCTGACTCCTGCTCACTGAGTTCTACTCTGCCGTTTCTAGCTCTGGCCCAGTCCAACCTGAGGTTTCTGGAGCTGGGGTGACTTATCTGTAACCACCCCACCTAAAGGTACCCAAGCCATTTTTAGTCCTTTACTATTTGAGAACGGGGCTCCTTCAAGCCTGGAGATGAAATAACAAACAGTCTGGTGGTTGAGGCTCACGTCTACCTGTCAACCAGTCTCACCGCGAAGCGTGTAGCTGCATAGGATTCTAACGTGGTTGGTGCTGGTTTGGACTCCTCCAGACTGGTCAGGTTGAAAATTGCTCAGTGTCAACAACACATAACAGAGGTGAACTTGGCTGTCTTCATTGAAGCAGGATGATAGAGACTGGCTTACTCTGGTTGTAGGCCTGTGCGATGCCTATTGTGTAGTTTTCTGGCCCAGTTGGTTCCGTTGGAAAGAGCTTATTACTAACCAGGTCAGAGTTGGAGGTATTTGACGCATTTAAATTACAAGAAAACTCCTAGCCGGAGACCTCATTTGTAACCCTGGCCTGTAATCTCTCATGTGGCCACTGTTCATAGGAAGGGTCAACAGAGCAATTACGCCGCAGCCAGGGTAGTACCTTCTGCTAATGAGGACCCACAAGGGCAGGCTTTCCTCGGGGCGTGTGAGTAAAACAGAGTAGCCTTGTGTTTGTGTAAGAAGGAAATGGAGTATTTTCTTTAAAAGGAAAAGAGATCATTCTTTCATGTCCCCAAATAAATTGTAGATAGATTTAAATAAATATTTTAAAACATATAGAGGAAGCAAGCAGACCATTAAAAAGGAATTTTTGAGTTCGAAATAAGTGAAAGCTCTCTTAGATTTGAAGCAAGAGAAGATACTAGAAAGGAGGAAAAAAAAGTTCACCCAAATGACAATTTAAGGCTTATGTACCCTGAAAAATAAAAGGAAAAAAGCAGATTGGAAAAATTATTTGTACTAATACAACAGACAGAGGCTTAATCTATAACAATTGATGAGCTCTTTAAGGATGAGGGCAAGGACATCATTAATACATGTATGGGTTATGGATATAAATCCAGTCGATAAAAGAAATACAGATAATAAATGACACATGGGAAACTTTTACTTTGAGTAATAAGAGAAATTCAAATAAAGGTGATAGTGAAGTACCATGCACTCCTTCAGTTAGCAAAACATTTTTGAAAACTGCCAACACAAACCATGTGGAGGAAACTGGCATCATGTAGTGAGAACCAACATTATGGTGTGTATCAAAAGCTATAGAATTGTTTATGGTGTACCCTTTATCCAGTTACAGAAAATGACTTCTGAATTTATCTCAACTTATTACAAGGGTGGGGAAAAGAATCATGTGCACAAAATTTTTCATTCTGGCGTTAACTGTGTTAGTGAAAACATAAATGAAGAAGCATCTGTTAACAAAGAAAGTGTTAAATAAATTATAATATTGCCTCAGTCAGCCTTTGAAAATGATAATTATGAAACGGAGTATAAAATTATATATACTATAATTACAGTTAAAGTTGAGAATGTAGATCCGAGGGAGGGAGGTAATGGACAAGTTTAGGGCATTGTGGGTGGTGACAGTACATATTCATGGAGGTAGGCTTATCTTCAAATTCATCAAGATGTACACATTAAATATATACAGCCTTTTTTTATTTTTATTTTTTTTTAATTTTTTTATTTTTTTCAACGTTTATTTATTTATTTGGGACAGTGACAGAGCATGAACGGGGGAGGGGCAGAGAGAGAGGGAGACACAGAATCGGAAACAGGCTCCAGGCTCTGAGCCATCAGCCCTGAGCCTGACGCGGGGCTCGAACTCACGGACCGCGAGATCGTGACCTGGCTGAAGTCGGACGCTTAACCGACTGTGCCACCCAGGCGCCCCAATACAGCCTTTTTTTATATGTCAGTCATACCTGAGTATAAACAAAGTTTACTGCTTTGATTTTGTGCCTTGTGGTCCCTTCCAATGTCTTGATCATATCATAAAGGTTACTCTGATCTGTGAGATGCGTGCCTTGTAATTGAAGATTTGAAAATTGTTTACGATTTGTAAGAGAAACATTTACAGATGCGATAAACTTTGTGCAGCAAATTAAAAATAGGATTAAAAAAAAGGAAAGAAATTCAGGTCAGTGGAAATTACAAAAGAAAACAAAAAAAAGCTATTAAGTTATTTAAACTGTAGACGATTCACTTTTCCCCCTTAAAATTGTTTTATTCTTATTATTTTTATCATACCGTGTCACAAGTTGGAGATAACGATAGTGGTAAACAAGATAGATATATGGTCCCTGCTGTTTTGAGACTCGTGGTTTAAGTGGCATATTTATGAAATAGAGTCTTTAAAATAAAGTCTGGTTTATTACGTATACTCTGAATATGCATAAGATACATGCATTCAGAACACTTGAAAACCCACGTATCATGGGTTTCATTTTGGTGTATTTGTTTCCATGGACTTCCACGGAAACCTGAACTGGAATCCTGGCAGGCCCAATCTCGCGCGCTGCCCTTCTCCCGGGACGTTATGTCGTACCTCCCACGGTGTCACGTGGTCCGCATGGTTCTTCGTGAACGGAGCCGTTTCCTTAAGTTGTTCCCTTGTGACGCATTCCAGTTACAAACCGAGGTATCATTTTTGTGCGCTGGTTCTTCTCCTCCTCTTCCTTGTCACAGCCAGCAACCCCGACGCGCACAATAGCGGCAACCCCGATTCAGACACTTCCACAGAGCCAGTCCACACCAAAGCGAATTGATACCCCCAGCTTGGAGGAGCCCAGTGACCTTGAGGAGCTTGAGCAGTTTGCCAAGACCTTCAAACAAAGACGAATCAAACTCGGATTCACTCAGGTAGGACGAACCCACCGTTAACCTAGATCTCCCTCCCCGACTAGGTCCAGGTATGCGCTTTACGTGTCCAGGGAAGCTTCGGAGGAACAGTATATTCCCTGGCCCTGTTTTTTGGTTTTAGACTGCGGCTTTTTCTTAGCCACATCCTGCCCTCATAAATTTAGACTGTTATCATATATTCAGTTATGAATGTATGATTTAATGTTAGATTAAAACCTTTACGATTTCTCTCAGAACACAGGCCTCTGAAGTCATAATTCGGATGATACCGATACACGGTGAGGGCTTAAAAGATATGTTTGGGGCTGCTGTAACTGTAGTGAGGGTTTTGTTATTTGTAGAACATCTGGTTCTAGGCCTTAGGGCTCTGTCTGCAAGAGTGAGAGAATAAAGATTGCAGGGTCTCTTATAGTAGCTGAAAGGGGAAAAGTTTGAAAGACTTGTTTAAAAACAGATTTTTGGGAGAGAGAGAGAGAAGGAGACCAAATAGAGAGAGAGAGAGAGAGAGAGACACACACACACACACACACACACACACACACAATAAGGCCAAATTGACACTAATTAAACAAATAGGAATCTGGTAAATCTGAAAAGTCCAAATGAATCAAAATCCAAATTAATTTTTTTTTAATGTCCCCTAGCAGACAGCTTTTAATGTGGAATAAGTTTAATGGTTCAAACAGGCATCTGGGTATATAGCGTTTTTGTTCCAAGCACTACCACTGACTTACTCTTTGATTAATCTGTCACAGAGAATAGTTTTAAAGCAGGAAAAGAATTAAACGGGTAACAATGATATAAAATGATAGAAGATCCTTAGATGAAAAAAAGTTACTGAAGTATAGATCGGGTTGAGTGTTTTTATGCAATCAGGGGAAACCTGATGTTTTCTTAGAATATGATTACTGTTTGAAGGTTAAGTCACGACTTAAACACTAAGTTGAAAGTAAAGTTACGCGCAGCAGTGGTAGGTCAAAACCCAGGGATCTATCCCTGTTTGTTTTCTGTGTGTTTTTAAGAACAGACTTTTATTCCTTATGTTACTTTGGTAACTTGTTTTTGCTCAAAGCAATTAATTGTGTATTAGAAACATGAAATGATTTTTTTAAATAGGTGGAGTTTTAGAAAAAATGCAGTTATCTTTGTGAGGGGTTTCAGTTGTGAAGAAACACATTACAGTTCAGAAAGGTTTTAATGCTTTTGAAGCGCTTAAACCATCTGGCCTGTTTTTTCCAGAAGAAAGCTGAGGATACAACTAGATCGGTAGAGGTAGGTTAAGCTTGAACAAGTATGAGGTTGGCATATTTAGCAGTGCTGCAGCTTTTAGGCTATTAGCACAGCATACTCTTAGGTTCCCTAGGAGATTGTTGCCTCGGTGATACGCCAAGGATATTAAGGCTTTTAAAAATCTTTACCTTTGACCCACCTAGTGGTTTGCCTTTCTGTGGCATTTGACCCAACATATTGCCAGTGTTGGGTCTCCTGCTCTTTCTCTTTTAGATAAAGGAGCTTCCTTGTGGTCTGGTGCTTTATGGTTTTATCCTATTATTTGGTATAATTGTTACTTGTTTTTCAGAATGACTTTGACTTGCCAGTGGCAGCATTTCGCAAAACTTAACTGCGTGGATTAAAGCATATATTTCTGGTGGAGGATGGGAAAGTCAACCTTTGTTTTTAAGTCACACGCTCCAGTTGTAGACCTTCAAAGGTTGCTTTGTATCCAGTTTGTTTATATATACACACAGGGGAACTTCCCTTCAGCTTGCTGGTTTAAACAAAAACTCCCTATCTTCTCTGAGTAAATAGACATGTTATTAGAGGTTTTAAACAGTAATTTTCTAATTACTTAATTGGTTAAAGGATTGCTCTAGATGTCACTGTATACTTGGGAGGCATACCATAGTATAACACTTCTGTTGCGTGTAGCACATTCGTTATTTCCTAATCCCGATCTTTGTTCCTTTTTTTCCTTTTGCTCTTTTAAAAAATATCAAAGAGATACAACTTAGTTCAGATAATGTGTGAGGCAGCTGCTTAAAACGTTTACAATTGTGAGGAAGAACCCAACGTGGTAATTACAAGAGCACTGAACTGAGCATCTATCAAATTAATGAGAATTGGTATATTAACTGAGAGACCTGTTGCTTTTTATTCATTTAAATAATTTAAATATGAAATAAAATTGTATTCTAAATCTCAAGTGGATTTGTCATAGTTGTAGTGAGCTGATGGCGTAGCTTTATTTAGGCACAGCTACCATTTAGGGCGTTGTTTATTTTTATAATGATGTGATTTTTGATGGGTTATTTTTGTTTACTTACTAATTCTGTTACTTTTCATAGGAAGATATCATAGAGGTTTTTGAGAAATTCTTAGCAAATTACGTAGATACGGTGTCAGAAGACATTTATTTTCATCTGACCACGACAACAGACCTTACACTCAAAGAATTGCAAGGTGTAGTTGGCCCCACCCAGCTTTCTAGAAAGCTGTCATCTAAACAAACAAAGTGGCCCAGAACATGAATATATGTGACAAACAAAGTATGTTTAGGGCCTGAAATACAGTAGGCACTTAGTGAATATTTGTTGATTGAATGAAGATTTAATACATATTTGGAGAGATCGATGCTGAACACCTGTATCTACAGATACACTTGTATATAAATATAATAGATAGCATTTACGCCCCGCTCGCTCTATCCTGGTTCTTTCAGTTTTACTATAATTGGAAGGAGGTCAATGAGCAGTCCATTTCTGTTCTACTCGGAGATAGTATATTCAGAGTTGTCAATAAAACTTTCTGTGATGATGGGAATGTTCTGTATTTGTGCTGTACGGTACGATAGCCACTACCCACGTGTGGCTGTTGAGTCCTTGAAAGGCAGCTAGTGGTGCGGAGGAACCGAGTTTTTAATTTACTTGATTTTAATTAAATCTAAATAGCCCCATCAGGTGAAGTTCAGATGATCTCTGTACCTTATTGTATTTTATCGTATAGTTTGAATATTTTTCCTCTGTTAAACTTCTTGTCAGAAGTTGTGCACCAGTAAGAAACTGGGAGTTTAAAAAACAACAAAAAAAAGGTTTTTTCCTTTCCTTAACTACCACCTAATGTAGGTGCTAATAGGCAATGTAGTATCCAGAAGATGGATTGGTGGGGGTAAGGGGGGAATCAAAGGACTGGGATAATCCCAATTCAAAATAAGTGTTGCCACAATGGTCGGGAGCTAAGTGTTTCATAGTGGTATTGGCCGTGTAGTGCTTAGAGCTAGAAATGTTGCCTTTCTGGCCTGCCACTAAACTAATTGAAATGAGAGCGTGAATCACTTAAACTCCATGAGTTTCTGTCACCTGTATATAAAATAACTATTAAGATATGGCCTTTTCCAGCCTTAACAAGAGAGATTCAGCTGGAAGAAAAGTATTGTATACATTTCAAAGGTTATAGGCTTATAAAGAAAGTCATCTTTTGTAATATATTCAGGGGATCATTGTTCTATTGCTATAAGGTTACCAAGTTTCCAGGGCCCATGAAGGTTTAACTAAATGGGTCAAACCTCTCTACTGTGAATTTCTCTCTCTATAATGGTTACAAAAGTAGTCTTTTAGGATACCTGTTTTTGTAACCAACTTTGAAATCCAAACTAAGGGTGGAAAATAGATTTTTCCACTGCTTCCAGAAATACTTTATGGGCCTGGGGTTTGGGGTGGGGGGGGGAGGCGCTCAGGGGGATGGGGAATGAGGCATTATTTCTCAAATTTAAAATGATTTATAGGAACTTTGGTTAGTTCAGAAAGACCTGAAGTTATCTAGACAGTTACATCTGTTAACCCCGTAAGTGGTAACGGGGAACTGGTTTTAAAGATTATTTAAATCATTTTAAGTGTATCCATTAAGGGGCTTGTTAGATCACTATCTTTTGAGATTTGGAAATATTTGATAATCTTGATTATTACGTGAAGTAACAAGAAGAGACTCAAAATGAGAGAAGATGGGAGTTATGAATTTTGTCCCAAATCAAGGCCTGACAGGCTTCATTGAATACTGTGCTCAACTTAAAGGTGGATGCTTTTGTGGGACCCTGGAAATGGAACGATTGTTGAGTCTTTGTCTAGATCAGTTACTGGGGCAGCAGCAGCCTAGAGTGAAGACTCGGGACGTTAGTGAGACAAATCTCTCTCCCTCTCCCCCTCCTGCTCTGTGTTACCGTGCAGGGCGATGTTGGGCTCGCTATGGGTAAGCTGTATGGAAATGACTTCAGCCAAACCACCATCTCTCGCTTTGAAGCCTTGAACCTCAGCTTTAAGAACATGTGCAAGCTAAAGCCACTTTTGGAGAAGTGGCTCAATGATGCAGGTGAGTAAGTGTACGAATTTTACAGGGGAGTTGTTTACACCTGGGCTTATGTCTTCTAGTACCGCAGAACGTATGTCTTATTGGTACCGCAGAACATTGAAGCTCACTAACCTTGGGAGGATCAATATAAATTATGACTCCATAAATTAGAGAACGAATTCGTTTAAACCTAGTAATTACAATGGACACAATCAGTAGTCATTTGTAGCCTTAGAATATTTCTTGTATTTGAGCCAGGTTAGGGATAGTTGAAGGAAGAGGATGAGAAGTCCTAGGTGTTTACATACACTTGAAAAACAAATTTATTGGTTCTTCCCTGATGAATTATTATAAACTTGTTACTGATCAGATTTCTGCTTTTTTACTAAAAATGACCGCGTATGGTTTATATACACAATGGAATACTACTTGACAATGAGAAAGAATGAAATCCTGCCATTTTGCAGCAACGTGGATGGAACTGGAGGGTATTATCCTAAGTGAAATAAGTCAGAGAAAGACAGATCCATCATATGTTTTCACTCATGTGGAACTTGAGAAACTTAACAGAAGACCATGGGGGAAGGGGGGGGAAAAAAAACAGTCACACAGAGAGGGAGGGAGGGAAACCATAAGAGACTCTTAAATACAGAGAACAAACTGAAGGTTGATGGGGGGTGGGGGGGAGGGAGAGGGGAAAATGGGTGAGGGGCACTGAGGAGGGCACTTGTTGGGATGAACACTGGGTGTTGTATGTAAGCGATGCGTCCCCAAACCAAGAGCACACTGTATACACTGTATGTTAACCAATTTGACAATAAATTATATTTTTCAAAAAATACTTCCTACATAAAAAGCTGAGCTTTTAAAACCAGCTGAGCTAGTTTTAACTTGTTTTATACTGAGTTGCCTTACGGAAAATTTGGATTGTGAGTCACAGAATCAGAGACTCTGAGAGCTATAAGGAACCACAGAGATCTCCTAGGCTTTGGTTGTCATCGTAAATGTGAACAAAAGTCAGGTCTTTGGGAAAGACAAACCTGTAATTCCCACCCTTCAACAGTCTGATCCATGGCTGTGGGTGAGGCCTCAGCATCTGTAATCTTACTGAGTTCCACAGGTGAGAACCTTTCGTTTTCCATAGGGTGTAAAGAAACGCAGAGATGTCTGTGATGTGACCAGGGTCATCAAACTAGTAAATGACAGAACCTTGTTTAAGCTTCAAAGAATTTAGAAAGATCTGTGGTAGTGAATGATGTTTTAATATGGGTTATGAAAACCCTCCTGTGCTGGCTCTTAGCTTAACATATTTTGGTCTGTTTTGTTGTTACTGTTAATATATGTATCATATGCATGAGTCATGCTCAGCTAACTTGATTTCTGTGTTTTCTTCTTTCTTACAGAGAACCTCTCATCTGATTCGGGTCTCTCCAGCCCAAGTGCCCTGAATTCTCCAGGGCTGGGAATGGAGGGCTTGAACCGTAGGAGGAAGAAACGCACCAGCATAGAGACCAACATCCGTGTGGCCTTAGAGAAGAGTTTCTTGGAAGTTAGTAAAGTTTTTACTTTTCATGTACATGTGATTGTCTGTATAATATTAATATTAGGTGCTGTAGATGATGTAATGATGGACTTGTCAGCCTCGGTCCTGACACATGCTTATAACGTAGCGGAGAACATAAGACAAAGGAAGTTACCGAACATTGGGAGCAGAACCAGAGGCCTCCAGGGCTCAGGAGAGTCCAGGCGCGTATCTGCGTGAGCACCAGTGTGACAGAAGAGACCACAGCTGCCGTGGGATACGCAGGAGCTGCACAGGCGGGGAGAAGTGGGAGGAAAGCACTTTAAGCAGAGGAAGTGCACCAGCAGAGGCATCCAGGGAGGAAAAACCTCCCAGATTTGGCAAAGCACAAATAGTGCGATTTGACTAAATTCCATTGTCTGTGTGCCTAGAATAGTCGTTTGGGACTAGGCCACCAAAGGCCGTGGATGTCAGGGGTTAAATAAAGTTAGTTCTGGGCGCCTGGGTGGCTCAGTCCGTTAAGCGTCCAACTTGGGCTCAGGTCATGATTTCACGGTTCGTGGGTTCAAGCCCCACATTGGGCTCCGCGCTGACAGTGTGGAGCCTGCTTGCCATTCTCTCTCCCTCTCTCTCTGCCCCTCCGCGACTTGCGCTTTCTCTCTCTCTCAAAATAAGTAAACTTTAAAAAAGGAAAATAAAGTTAGTTCTAACAGGTATTTAGCCTCTTTTGTCTTTGTTTGTTTGTTTGTTTGTTATTGTACCAGGCAATGTCACAATCAGAGCTTCCAAAAAATTGTAACTTTTCTAATTTAGAAAAGGCTTGAGCACAGTGGAAGGAACATTGAATCAGGAGTCTCTCCACTCTACCGCTTTTATTAACTATATCAATAACTGTGACTTCACTGTGTCAAGTCACTTGATTTCTTGTGCTACAGTCCCTGTCTCTGAAATACCTGCCTTTCCTGCCCCGCAGGCTTATTGCCTACCTCGTGTGGTCCTAGTGAAATCATGTGCATGGAGCACTGACAACCTCTTAAATTCCTACTAACATATAAAGTTGTATGGATTATGAATTTTATTCAAGATTAATAACCCTTAAGATGAAAAAAATAAACATTCAAGAATACAACTTATTCGGGGCGCCTGGGTGTCTCAGTCGGTTCAGCGTCTGACTTTGGCTTAGGTCATGATCTCACGGTTCGTGAGTTCAAGCCCCGCGTCAGGCTCTGTGCTGACAGCTCAGAGCCTGGAGCCTGCTTCCGATTCTGTGTCTCCCTCTCTCTCTGCCCCTCCCCCGTTCATGCTCTGTCTCTCTCTGTCTCAAAAATAAATAAACATTAAAAAAAGAATACAACTTATTCTTATTTAATACGATTAAGTTTAACAACTATATGTTGATAAGAATGTTTATCTATAAAAGTTCTTTGTTAAAAGTATGGCCAGGGGGCGCCTGGGTGGCGCAGTCGGTTAAGCGTCCGACTTCAGCTCAGGTCACGGTCTCGCGGTTCGTGAATTCGAGCCCCGCATCAGGCTCTGGGCTGATGGCTCAGAGCCTGGAGCCTGCTTCCGATTCTGTGTCCCCCTCTCTCTCTGCCCCTCCCCCGTTCATGCTCTGTCTCAAAAATAAATAAACGTTAAAAAAATTTAAAAAAAAAAAAAAAGTATGGCCAGTATGGTTTTATATATATCCCAACTTCATCCTCCCATTTGTCCCTCTCCATTTGTTTATTTATGTCAGCAGTTTAAAAAAGTTATTCCAAAAGATGGGTTTTTTTCTCCTTTAGAATCAAAAGCCTACCTCGGAAGAGATCACCATGATTGCTGATCAGCTCAGTATGGAAAAAGAGGTGATTCGTGTTTGGTTTTGTAACCGCCGCCAGAAAGAAAAAAGGATCAACCCACCGAGCAGTGGTGGGACCAGCAGCTCACCTATCAAAGCAATTTTCCCCAGTCCAACCTCACTGGTAAGGATAAAAAATAGAGGACGCAAGCTCAGGGACTGATTTTTATAATTTTACAAATGATCTATGAAATCAGTTTATTTCATAATACTCATTTATTGTGTATATGTATTCATGCTAAGTATGCATGAACTTGTATTTTAAATGTCGCCAAGGTAATTCAGTCTCGTGTCGTCGTTAAGCCAAGAACTTCCTGATCTTTCTTTCTTAAAGTGAACAATTTTAATTCTTTCCTATTTCATGGTGGCTCCATTATTCTCTTCTCTAGCGTGATTTATAGGTTACTCTGCAACTGTGGGAGCAAATTTGCTGCTGACTCCAGTTAGCTTAAAAAAAAAAAAAAATCTTTAGTTGCTTCTTATTCACGTTGGGTTTTAAAGCCCGTATTATTAAAGTTACATGACTAAGTCACAGCAAATTCCGAGATAATGATTAGCTCTGAACTTGTATTAAAACAACCGTCTCCTGTCTTCACCCTCAGGCATGTAGGCCTTTCACTGATAAGCTCATTGAGTAACTTCCGCCGATTGCTCTAGAACAGTATTCTAGGCTGAGGGGGCGTTCCCTACTGCTGCAACTCCCTTGAGCTTAAGGACGACCGCAAATGTGAGTCCACACTTCCAACCAGAAATTCCAGAGCTGGAAAGATTGTGGAGTTTGCATTTCTGAGCTTTCCTTGTTAATGTGTCTTATATCATTTGAATGTCATTCTATCCGGGGATGCTTTTTAAACTAACTTCGCCCATGGAGCTGTGAAGTGAAGGTTGTGATTGTTGATTAGCAGGGCTTTCGTCATGAAGTTCATAAGACCGCAGTTAGGACAGCTTCTCAGGCACTAGATACAGTTCTGTTTTATGTAGGTGACAATTTTGTGTTTGGGTTTTATTTGTACTAAAAGGAAGACAGACAGTATTTCTTACAAAATTGTGGAAATACTTTGTTATTTCAAAAAGAAACTGTCAGTTTTTAACATTTTTGCTTCACCTTCTTTCCATGCTATCATTTCATTAAGAAACAAAAACAAGACAGTCTTGTCCCCACAGGGTCAGAAAAGAAAAAGAAATCTCAGAACCCCTGATTCCCTGATCCCGTCGAATAGTTTTCCTGTGTAGATTAAGTTGATAAATAGCATAGTATTCCTTCCTTGCCTTGCCTGTAGTATATCTGACTCCACATTATTGGAATTAAGGAATTTTTTTATTATTTCTTTTAAAACCCTCGGCAGAGCCATTTCTAGTATCAGTGAAAAACCATCTTCTAATAGCCACCTTCATACGTAGGTCTGTTTTCTCAATTCTAAGATCAAAAAATGATTATAAAATTATTTCCTCTTAGGCCTTTTTAATTATGTTGTATCTGAAATTTGAACATTTTTATAGGCAAAATACATCTTTGATGTGGATTTAAAGTTTTGATTTTTTTAACTGCTTTTGCATATTTTCACTTCTGGCCTCTAGGTGGCAACCACGCCAAGCCTTGTGACTAGCAGTGCGGCCACGACCCTCACTGTCAACCCGGTCCTCCCACTAAGCAGCGCTGCGGTCACGAGCCTGTCTGTCACAGGTAAGCAGCCGCCTGGCTGAGCAGCTGTTGGACACATGGTGGGCCCGTGACAGGTCTCTCTGAGAACTGTGAACTAAATTGTGAATTAGGGCTCTGACTGCAACTTTTTTTTGAAAGGCCCCGTACGAAAACCTGAACTCCAGAAAACAGGCATAATTAATTTCGTCAGAAAGAATTCTCTCACATAAAGATTTTCTTGTCTGTTCTGTTCTTTCCCACATTACTCTTATCTTCGACATTGCTCCCGGAGTTATCTTTCAAAACTCCCAACTTTTTTCCAAGTAACTCCTCTCCTGAAAAACTTTCTTGCAGTGGCTACAGCTTTTTGTATTCAGGAAAGCATCCAGATTGATCATCAGTTCATCGAAGGTTATTTCCAGTCGGGATCTTATCTTCCACTGGTCTTTTGTCCCTTTCATCCTCAACACACGGGAAGGTTCCATCCATCCTTTTGTAAATATCCCCACAGCCTACAACGCTACCCCAGCCTGCACTTCTTTCTGAAAGCAGTGAAACTGCTCCAGCTTAGGTATCAGTTCTTTCTGGAAATACTCTTTAGCCTGCCCAGGAAACTCTTCATTCCCACCTGATTGTATTTCTTGTACTTCTGTCTTTCTCAATAGATTTTGCACTTCCCAAAAGATCTGAATATTCTTTTTGCAATCTCAGTGCCTACTTTGGTGCCTGATGCATTCGTTATAAAATGAATAAACTTTTTTCCTTTGGCCTCCTTTAAAAAACACATTTCCCAAGTACATTTAAAATAACTTAGGGGCGCCCGGGTGGCTCAGTGGGTTGGGCGTCCGACTTCGGCTCAGGTCATGATCTCACGGCTTGTGGGTCCGAGCCCCGCGTCGGGCTCTGTGCTGACGGCCCAGAGCCTGGAGCCTGCTTCAGGTTCTGTGTCTCCCTCTCTCTCTGCCCCTCCCCCGCTCATGCTCTCTCTCCTTCAAAAATAAACAAACATTAAAAAAAAAAAACTTTTTAACTTTTAAAAAAAGTTTTATTTTAAATAAATAAAATAAAATAACTTAGTGTTGGTGCACCTGAGTAGCTTAGTTGGGTAAGTGTCTGGCTCTTGATTTCAGCTCAGGTCATGATCTCACAGTTTGTGAGATCAAGCCCCGTGTTGGGCTCTGCACTGACAGCGTAGAGCCTGCTTGGGATTCTCTCTTTCCCTCTCTCTTCCCCTCCCCTGCCCTCACAGTCTCTGCCTCTCAAAATAAATAAGTAAAAACTTTAAAAAACAATAAAACAAAACAACTTAGTGTTGTCATCAGAAGTTTTTTAGGGGCACCCGGGTGGCTCAGTCGGTTAAGTGTCCAACTTCAGCTTGGGTCATGATTTCACAGTTTGTGGCTTCGAGCCCTGTGTCGGGCTGTGTGCTGACAGCTCAGAGCCTGGAGCCTGCTTCGGATCCTGTGTCTCCCTCTCTCTCTGCCCCTCCCCCACTTGCTCTCTGTCTCTGTCTCACTCAAAAGAATGAGTAAACACTAAAAAAATAATAAAATAAGTTTTTTAGTGATATATGATGCATAAAGCATCCTATAATTATTCACCAGGCTGACTACGTGCTAGTAAATCATCGAATGGATTTGTGATATTTCACAGTCAAGCTTGAATTTAACCTAGAGCTGGGGAATTTGATTTTCTTCACCCATGTTTTGAGTTTGTTATAGCACTTCTTTGCCTCTATGATCTAACTGAATGGCTTCATATAGTTATTAAGTTTCTAAGTTACTAGGAAATCTCATAACTTTATTTATTTAGAGTAGTACTTCTGGACCTCTTTTGGGTCTTAGAGCTCTTTGAAAGTTTGATGCAAGCTTTAAACTTTTCCCCTCACAAAAGAGACACACCCACAAGTTTTAGTAAAATACTAAGGATGTTCATGAATGACAACCCCCATCAGTCCCCACCTCACAAAAGCCATTTTTGGATGCCGTAGGAGTAGAGATTGCAAGCTAAGAACCCATGTTTGAGAGTACATAGTATTCAGCACTTCGGCTTAAGCCAACTGGTGGGGATGATTGCTGTTGTGTTGGGCATCAGGAACACGAAACTCCTGCATCTGAGGAACCCACCATCCACCCTGAGTGCCGTCATCTGTTCACCTTCCCAACAAATTGTAAGTCCTGTTACGTTAGGTCTAAAGGTAACCATCTTTTGCAGAAAAATTCCTAATAGTTCAAGCATTAAGAACAAGCAGCTTTGCAGATTTCCTAACAATGTCGCAACAAATCTGAAACAGAAGGTAATTTTTAGGAGATACACAGACTCAATCTAGCTAAAACTTTTCTGTCAGTTTTTGATGATCCTAGCTGGCCGGTCATATTTTCCTAAACTCGGTTACTCAGCCCATTTATGTGGATTTAATTATAACTATTTTCTGAAATGTTGGTAACTTTTTTTGGAGTGAGTTTTTTTTCTTCAGTTCTTAAAAAGTTGGAACGTTCTAAGAAACTCAAATAGGCAAAACAGTCACAATGAACTATTTTTATCCTGCCTTTAAAACATTTTTTTATATATATGGGCAATTCTAATAGTGTTTAATGTGTCCTACTTTTTTTTTTTTACTTCTCATCTTTCAGTAAGTGTCATCCCTGTTACAGTTTTTTACATTTCTACCTTTTTTTATAATCTTTTTTTCTTTTTTTTCGATGTTTATTTATTTTGAGAGACAGAGACAGTGTAAGTGGGGGAGGGGCAGAGAGAGAGAGAGAGAGAGAGAGGGGGGGGGGAGAGAAAGAATCCCAAGCAGGCTCCAGTGCAGAGCCTGATGTGGGGCTCAAACCCACGAACCGTGGGATCATGACCTGAGCCGAAATCAAGAGTTGGATGCTTAACTGACTGAGCCCCCCGGGTGCCCCTACATTTCTACTTTTGATTTGCCCTTATTGTATTGAATGGTTGTACCAGAATTTCGTAAACATTTTCATGTAATGCTATGATGGTTAAGTTCCACCTACAATGACCAGCTTTTGCATTTGAGTCCCACAAATATTGCATCTCAAGAAACCCCTCAGTCTCCCAGCCACAGAACTTATCTTTCTTGTTCGATATTATTGTATTCTTCCTATCTAGCACACCATCTAGAATGTAAGCTACCCAGTAATTATTAAAGGAATGAAGTTTTCACTTATAAGTAATGCTATAGTGAGGACCTTTGTACAAAACGGTTTTCTTAAGTTCTTTATTTTTAGGTAATTTCAGATGTACGGAAAAGTTGCAAGAATAGTTCAGACAAATACCAGATCTCTTCCCTTAGATTCTCCAAATGTGAACATCTTACTGTATTTGCTTTTTCTTTCCTTTTGCTGTTTCTCTTTCTGTGTATGTGTTTTTCTGAACTGCTTTAAGAGCAAGTGGTGGACATGCTGCTTTACCTGTAACTACTTCATTGTGTGTTACCTAAAAAAATAAATTACCGTATATAACCAGAATACAGTTACCCAAAATCAGGAAATTAACATTGAGTCAGCACTAATATCTAGTAAACAACTCACATTCATATTTTGCCAGTTGTGCCAGTAATGTCTCTTAAAACGCAAGAAGATCTTTGTTTTTTCAGTGTTTGTTTATTTTTTGAGAGAGAGAGAGACAGAGTGTGAGTGGGGAGGGGCGGAGAGAGAAAGAGACACAGAATCCGGAGCAGGCTCCAGGCTCTGAGCTGTCGGCCCAGAGCCCGATGCGGGGCTCGAAGCCACAAACGGAGAGATTATGACCCGAGATGAAGTCAGACACTTAACCGACTGAGCCGCGCAGGTGCCCCTAGCACGAGAAAATCTTAAATCATGCCTTGCATTCAGTTCCTGTGTTTCTTTAGCCTTATTAAACTGGAGACAATATGCGTCCTTCGTAGTGCTTTAGTACATTGATTGTTTGGAAGAGCGTAGCTGTTTACTTTGTACATGTTTTGTCTCACATTTCCTCCTGAGTAGATTCAGATTACGCACTTTGGGCGAGAATACCACAGAAGTGACATTGAGCTCTCCTTTGTGCATGATATGAACACACATGTTGTTTATTGATCCTACTACTGCTGGTATTAACTTTGATAATTTTATTAAGGTGGTGTAGGTCAGGATTCTCCATTGCATAGTTATTATTTTATTCCTCATAGTAAATGAGGGATTTGAGACTGTACAGACACCCTGTTTTTTTCTCAAACCTTTGTCCACTGGTGTCCATTGATGATTTTTGCACGGATCTCTTAGGATTCTCAAATAACTGTGTGATTTCTTCTACATTTATTAGTTGCCTTCCTTACCTTTTTCCATATGTTAACTCCCTTATCAGTGACCATGAGAAACCTGGCTCTTGTTATTTAACAAGATCGTTAACTGCTCAAACCTGTAGTGAAAACACAGTGGTTTCAAAATTGCTAGCCCATGTTTCTGAACAGAAAAGGCCTACTAATTGGAGTTCCATGTTTGTTTAGAGTTCTTGTCTTTAACCTGAAGGTATGTAGTCCCAATGCTGTGCTCAGAAGTTATTTCAATTAGGTCTTTTTATATAGCCTCTTCAGTGTAGTTACATTATTCATTTGAAATTCCGTTTGTTTTGCTCGTTTTCAACATTAGTGTTGTTCCTCTCATCCTTGTGGATTTTTTTTTTTTTTTAAGTACATGAGATAATAGCATATCATCAATCATTGATTTCAAAAGTCAGGACTGTGCAGTAATTTCTCTTCAGAATAATGTCATTCCCTTCTCTTGTGATTCTCTTTCTCTGACAAGTGAGCTTGGAATCTCAGGGCTCTGTTGAGGTGAGTAACTCTCACCTCTGTCATAGTCTTCTACTGTGTCCTTCCGGACTCTAGTTGGTTTCCCTACCACCTAATCCCAACCTCTTTCTCATTTCTGCAAATCTCTCAAAATCTCAAGTTTTCTGATACCTGTCCCCAGAGTTCTTACTCCCTTTTCTTTAACCATCATCTGGGATAGGATTTTAGGAACGAAGCGAAAAAAACCATATCCTCACTCTACCGTCTTCTAAGA